CAAATGTCTGGCAAATCAATTGAGTTTGCTCGACAAATATCCGCTGGAATGACAGCTGACAGGCAAATGAATGCTTTGCCAGTCTGCCAAGGTTTAGTACTCGAATCGATATACTCATGTTGCAAGCACACTCATCTTCTCGTATCTTGCATCTCGGCCACTGCGGCAATTAAATGTGACTGCATCAACATTAACTAAAGGACAAAAGGATTTTTAACTATGACAAATTCGCAGTGTTTGCTCAATTGGCTATAATGCCCTGATTGATGACAGCCAGATAGATGGAACAGAACTGGAATAGAAAGTCAGAGTGAGAAAGACGCCGAGATGACATGCCATGATATGATTATCCAACAATTTAAACAGTGCTCCAGTGTTTGGCAACTAGTTAATCAATGGCGCAATGGAAGACACAAGAAACGTACACTCAACAAAAAATAAGAAGATATTATAACATTTTGTATAAAATACAAGAGAAAGTTATTGATTAACATATTCGTAATTAAATATTGGTAATTTAATTAAATGCAAACTTAATAAATTCCATACTTATATTTTCAGTGCTAAAGAGTACCCAATTTTTTTGTGTGTACCTCTGCTTGTCATTGTCCTTGGCGTTTGTCAAACAAAGCAAAAACTTGCTAAAATCCCTGGCCAAACAAGTGAAGCATGACAAAAAAAATTGAAAGAAAGAAAAGGACAGAAGCTCAAGTCTGGCGAAAACGAGAGAGAAAGATATGGAAGGGGAGGGGGTGGGGTGGGAAGGTGACAAGCAAAAGGAGTAAGTAAAGAACTTTATACCTAAAAGGGATTTATTTGATGACTTGTCTAACTCGTGCCATTGACTCAAACGATGACACAGAAGGCATGCAATGCCTTTCCCCCATGTGCCACTTGCTCTCTTCCCGTTGCCGGTCCCTGTCCCGGTCCCGATCCGCACTATTGAGTGTCCCGCCATGACGCAGCACTTTTGCAAATGAAGTTTTATAACTTTGCCTGTCGATTTCGAAAGTCAGCGCAAAGTGAGAGGGCGATTGGTAATGGAATGAAATTCAATGCATTTTGAAAAATGAGAGAATTGATGACGACATGGCCGATAGACGGCGCCCCAGAATTGTATATTACAAAAATCGGTGTCCGCAAATGCAGAAGAATCCATAAGTGGCGACTGTACTGAAGTTCCTTGTATTGGTCTGTGCATTCCTTTCACTTACGACTGTAGTTGAGCATTTGCATACCAGATGATGGATTGCATTGGACTTACCTGAAATGAGAATGAATGATTAGAATGAGAAGAGAAGTGATACTAGACTTAATTGATAGTGTAAACATAATTGGATTTTAATTGAGATCGAAACACTTTAAAATATATTTGCCTTGCACTGCGATTCTCGTGTATATTGCACCTTTTTAAGCGAGTATCACAAATGGAATATGTCATACTTGAATTAAAGTCAACCAGCTGCCACAGGAAAAATGACAGTCCTGTGGCCAACTATCGTTATAATTATCTTGGCTGTCAGTGTTTGCATTTATGCAGCAGAATTAAATTAACTGAAATTTGTGATTTTTAATTAAAAATGCAATTTAATAATTTTTAGCTGCGAAAAGCGAATATGTGAAGAGACAATGCGACAACATATATAAAACAAGACAGCAACAGCAGCAATAACAGACAACAATGACAGCAATAACAACAACCACTGCAATTAGCAAAATTCGAGCAGTTTGTAATGCTGCACAGCACACACACACACACTCACACAGTACACAGACACACACACAGACACACACGAGCAATGGCACACACGTGTTAATAAGTGTTGTGTTGTGTCATTGTTGTTGTTGTTATTGTTATTGTTGTTTGTGTTGCTGCTTCTGGTGCCGCCACTTAGCCAGTGCCTTGTCCAATTACTAAAGCAACAACAATAGCAACAGCAGCAAGCGGCATTCAAATGGTACGCCGCAGGCAACTCACACACACACACCAACATGCAGTCTGTTGGTCTGTGGCAGGTTGTGCTGGGATCCAGCGCAACAGCAAAGGAAGCGTCAACTACAAAGTTTTTTCATATCCTGTGAAAATTATTATACGCTTTTCACAAAATAGTTGCAGCCAGCGGCAAACGCACACACACCTATATGTATGTATGTATATATATATATATATGTGTGTTTGAATATACTTGTATATGTTGCTGCTGATGCTGCTACTGCTGCACTCTTGACCAGGACGAGTAGGAGCACATGTGCAACACCACAAAACGGCAGTCAGGCGACAACAAGAACTCGAACTCCGAGTTCTGTTCGACAGACGAGCTTACTCTTCTGCACTTCCTTGACTCGAACTCCGACTCTGATTCCGGATCGAGCTTGAGCTCGACGCTGCCGTTTTTCCGTTGCGAAAAACTTTTGTCAAATTGTTTTTTGTGCTGCAACAGCTTGGAGGCAACAGAGACGGCGTCAGTTTTAATCATTTTCCCAGCACCACTGTTTCCCAGTATCCTGTGTCAGGTCCTGGACACAAGTGTTTGTTATATTTGCGTTAATAAAATAAATATCTTAAAATTGAATGGACCCACAGACACAAACTTCCACATTGTAGCTTGAAAGACTGAAGTCGAGCAACAACCACAAGTTTTTCAAGTGGTTGCACTAAATGGGAATCTTTGCCTAAAGTTGAAATGTTACCAAGATAGTCACAAATCTCAAATAAAATATATATAAGTGTTATATAGGTCAAGGCATAAATTGGGTTTAAGGTGTTGTCTGCAATCAACTTTTGATTTATTTTGAGCTCAAAAGAAATTTCAAAATTAAATAAACAAGGTTTTGTTTATTTAAAGTTGGGGTTTATTAAAAGCTTCTCAGTTCATTTCAAATAGTCAAAATCGTTTTCCAGCAAAAGGTAAACATAAAAATTTGGAATTTGTAGTGTGCAAGTTTCAGCTTTAAACTTTTAAGCAGAAGCAACTGAAATAATTACCCTCTTATGGCGTAAAAAAAACTTTAAGTGCATAAGATTCAACTTGGTACTGAGTTCTCCTTAATGGTTTGGCTTTCACATAAGTTAGAGCTTAAGTCAAGCAGTTGTATCAGTTGTGGGATGCCATGCTTTTATTTTCTGTATGATATTTAACATGAATGCCACGGGGCGTATACTCAATATTTCTGAGCGCATTTGCAGCAGCTTTAACTCTCGGGCATTGTGCCTTAATGCATCTCTCTGTCTCTGGCTAAAGCATAACTCGCAGTGAGCAACAACAACAACAACAACATAAAATGCATGAGCAACAACTGCAACTGTTCACTGATACATTTTGCACTTTTCAACACGGGAAATGAAATGAGTGAAAGAGGCAGAAGACAGAAAATATAGATGTGGCAGGCAGAAGATTTAATACCCTTGCAAAGCAAATACTGACATATATATTTATTTAAAAAGTGAGAAATGTATTCTCAATTGGAAATAATAAAAATATTCATATAATGAAAAATATATTTGCAAAGATCTGAGGAGTATTTAGGTAAGTTATCAATTACTGTATAAATAAGATATGGCTATATCGTCCAGGCCATGCCGATCATGTGCGATACACATTGTATGACAACTTTATAATACCCTCTGGAAGCATTCAGCTTGGCCAGCTGTGGGTCCTTGGGACCATTGAATATGGCCCAGACACGTAGTCGCCGAGTGCGCTCAGTGCGTTTTACTCTTTGAATCTGTAGTCTGTGTTCTGTTGGGTGCTTTGGCTGCCGGCTGTTGGCTGCTTTTGAGGCGCCTTTCGACTCAGCCTTTTACAAGTTTTTTTTGCGCTTTTGGCTCGTCTCGCGTCTCAGCTCGCATATAACTCACGGCTTTCAGCGTTGAAAGTGCACTCAGCGCATACAGAGAGATAGAGAGAGATAGTCAGAGAAAAGAAGAAGAGTGCACCTGCCTCGCCCACATTGAGTATGCCACGACGCTTAAGCCAATAATAAATTTGTGCAACAATTTTATGCCAAAGCTGCAGTTTGTCAGCATTAGCCAGGGTAATAGCAACTGCAACAGCAGCATCAGTTTCCACAGCCAAGAAGCACTGGCAATTTCGATATCGATCGACATTTTTGAGGGAGCAATTCAACCCTTGAGAGCCAACGCATACATTAAATATATTTATAATTAACTAAAATTTAATGTTTATTCAATTTTGACAAGGCATGAATGCGAATATCAAGATAAAAGACACTCTCAACGGACCTTAAGCAGTTCAGTTGGGCGTCGAGTTTCAACTTACATAGTAACATATCAGCTGGGGGGTTGTGGGGTTAGAGGGGGCTTAAGGGTTGTCTCTCTGTTTGCCAGACAAAAAGTTACAGTAGTCAAAACGTGGCATGTTAAGTTGTAGCAACTTTTGATAACTTTAACTAAAAGCGAAATGTTACAATTCTTTGCCCGAGCAAGAGGGAGAGGGAGAGCGAAGGAGAACTCGAGAGAGACAAAGACAGAGAGAGAGAGAGAGAGAGAGAAGGAGAGGGAGCTGGGTTGTTAGAGTGAGAGAGAAGCTATGTCATCTGAGAGCTAAAACCCTTTCTCATTTGCTATGGAGCACTTAATTAATGCAATCACTGCAAAATGCTTGACAAAAATAAGTTTGACATCAACAAGGAAGCAAAAGCGAAGAAAACACACTTTACTTTACAGCAGGGTGCAGAGTGGGAGACGCATTTTGGTTGCGGAATGTGAGATTCTTAGATCTGCATTATAATTAAGTTGAGTTTCAGTGCGGAACAGAAAGTAACTTTAAGATGGTTGAAATAAATAAGCATAGTATGTGAATACTTAAAAATCAAACACAGTTATTACATGTCTAAGCCACATTTATAGTTTCCAAAATGTATTCAACTTAAATTCTGCTTAAACATAATATTCACATTTATTTGAATTATTTAAATTGCGTCGTTTCAAAGTCAGAGTTTGCACATGATAATTAGTGAAAGAAAAGTAAAAACCATTTGAAGGTTAAGCAAATAAGCACCCAATGCTACTGCTGCTGCTGCTGCTGCTGCTGGTGCTTTTGCTGTCGAGTTCTAAAACTGATTTCATTAGCATGTAAGCCATTCCCCTACCGACCGACAACGTGTCTCTTGGCAATTTCATTTGAACTTTGCGCAGCCAAACACGCTTCCAACATCACTTTTCCCATTTTCCCCACAAACATACGCACACACGCACACAAGTTGCCATGCCCACGCCATGTGCCTTAATTTTACAAAGGCTGCTTAAAAGTATTATAAATCGAGTCAGGTTCTACTTCAACTCGTACATATATGTATATATATATATATGTATATGTATAAATTGAGCTGAAGGTGAGCGTGTCAGAAGTTTTAAGGTCACACGTTTGCTTAATTATCAACGGCGAATAATTACAGAGGTTTTTGTTGACTGTCTGTACAGTGCAGCATAGTGTCAAATCTAATCCTGACAACACAAATATCAGATATTAATTACTGGCACACACTCAAACACACAGACGTTTGGGCAATGTTGTTTGTCTTGACGCTGGTTAAATACAATTTTGACATTGCCTGCCAAAGACAAATTATCATAACGATGACTCCTCCCGTTTCCTCCCTACTTGCAGGCCCCTCCGCATTTGTGCTTGTTCCGCTGTCAGTGCTTGTCGCTCCTTGTACAACTGTTTGCCCCCTGACAAGTGTCACATTAATTGACAGTTGCGTGGCTTTCCATTGTTCACCCACGCGCCACTAAATGGGCATGGATCAACTTGCCCTCTTTCGAGGTGATGTCCTGCCATGTTATGGCGTTGGCAGGGGGCAGCTGGTGCTTTGCAGACGAAGGATTTGCCTATAAACATAAACACAGCAATGGGCACGTTTCCATATTTGTGCAAGGGGGTGAGTTGTTGTAGCACTAGTATGCGAAAGGACATAATATTTGCTGCATTAATTAATGCACACACACACGCAGACACTCAGAATGAAGTATACACAGATAGAAAGAGAGCGAGGCCGGGTTAAAGGACCTTGTCGCCTGTAAGTAAGCGATTTAATGAGCTGAAATGTGTTGAATGACTTGATTTTTGTGCTTGTCTGTCAGTCATGTCACAAGCAGCTCAAGAGCTCTATTAAATAATAATTATGACGAAAATTATGATTGTGATAGAAATCTTTACGACTTTTCGATTTATCTTAGCATTGTGGTTGGGTTTAACAATCTACAAGCGCTTTTAAGCTTATAGTTTGAACGTGAAAATCGATCCAGGTCAAGCCAAGATTAGAAATACGAGATTTTATAGGTTCAGTTTTGACCACGCACAATTCATTTTTGGATGACAATCGAATAAAAGCACTCTTATACCAAGTTTATGTCACAACAAAAATATCTGAATATAAACTGTTGACTCCGTTTGAAGTTTTATTTTTCAGTATTTTTCAGATATTTACTGCCATGTACAAGTGCTGAGAGCACAATTTGAGCATTGCATTTGGGCAATCAACAAAATTGATAAGAGCCGAAATGGGGAACCTTTTGCCATGGGGCATAGCAGACGCACGTTGGGATTTCCTAGACGGCCAAGTGGATACGTGTGCAGCCAATTGGTAAAATTACCCTTTCCCCATTTAAAGCACTTGCCCACGTCCTGCCACGTCTTTTACTTCCTTGCTCACACAGCAGCAAACAGATAAAAAAAAACAAACTCAGTCAAACCAAAAACCAAAGCCAAAAACAAAACTATGCAACTCAATTGCAGTCGGAGAGGGGGCAAATGGATGGACGCAAGCGGCTTGCATAGGTCCTGAGCCTGGACCCAAAACTATTTTTTGGTTTATTTTCTAGACAACGCCCGCTGGGCGCATTCACATCATCAATACGACACAGGGGACATGCATAATCGGGCGGATGGCTCCCAATGCGATGCATTTATGCGTTCGCTCGTTGTTTTGTAGGAAATCCCGTCCAGACAGGAATTTCCAAAAATGCTGGCATACGAATGCATTGGTTGCTGATCTGTGTGTGGCCAGTAACCAGCGAGAAGTGGGAATGTGTTGGCAAGGGGCGGGTATACTTCACTTGGACTAGTCCATTGCCAGGCGTTGCTTTGGTTAGTTAGCGCGGCTGGCTGGCAAAATAATCAAATGCGACTGGCTGGCAGCGCTTGCCGCGCTGAGATAATAAAAAACAGATTAGAGATTGGACGTAATCCTGAAGTGGGGAATTGAGCCGCGAACAAAGCCAGAAACTCGTTGAAAATGGCATTGATTCGCCGAATGAAGTTCCTGGAACTACAGAATATACGAACTGGATCTGATAGAAAAACGCAGCAAGCTCTAAATATTTAAATCAAACTTTAATGCCATTTTCTGTAGCAACAGAAATATCATATAAAAATAAAATTAAAAATATATTCAGTTATAATTAATTATTCGGTTAAAGCTGTCTAAAAAAAAAAAAACAAACTAAAGGCATTGCTGACTTAATAATTGTTTTTGTTTTAATCGCATTAAAACTATTTTATAATATTTTGCTACAAATACTTACGTTATTCATTGTATGTAATTTAATTATACGCCTCAAAGTGTTTGGCTATTTTATTATTTATAATCTTAATTTGCAACAAATTTTTACTAATTTCCATTGTTTGTATTTGTCAGCATTTTCTCGTATTTATTTAATTTCTTTTTTATTTTTATATAAATATATTTGTTTTCGTTGCTCGCTATTTATGCGTGCTTAATTGCAACTCATTAAGCATATTAATTAAATCACCACATTTATGCAATAAAGTTTGCCAGCAGAGTGCAGGAGCAAGGAACAGATGAAAGGGGAGGGAGGGAGAGTAATAGGGAGAGAGGTGAAAGGATTTCATGCGATGAGAAAATATTCACACATGCAGTGAAAATTAACATGAAAAAAAAACGAATGAAAATACTCGTTGAAAAAATTGGAAATTGCATTAATTTTTTTTTGTATACATGTTTAAATTTGCATAGAGAACGGAAAATGGAAATTGTGCAAAATAAATGGAGTAACAGTGAAATCATACAATTTAAATAGCTGCGAAAATATCATTTATGATGGCAATAGTTGTACATACGTAACGGGATTTTCTTTTGATCCGTGCTGCATGCAGTCGCAATGCGGGGATTATGTGACATTTGCCCAGTTGGCATAATATACATTAAATATTACACCAAAAATTACAAGCTGATTAAAAAATGCATAAATATGATTAACACAAAACTGCCAGCGTGCAAATTAATAAGCTGAATTAAATACAAAAAAAAATAAAATCATATAAAACAACAAAATAAATATACATATATGTATATGTATATGTATATGTATATGTATATGTATATGTATATGTATATGTAGAAGCAGGAAGCCAACGGACTGCAATGGAAATTAATTTGCATATCATTGAAAAATATTTGCAGAGCAAATAATAATTTACAAATTTCGAAATGCTAATTGATTTAAAATTGCATTAAAGAAAAACTGTTAACATTTTTTTTCTGTTCGCTTGCATTTCCAATTGTTTGACGAAATTGACATTGATTTTGATGGAAACCCATGCACTTTCAAAAATTAAAAGGAAAATGAACTACTATTGATTTAGCGGAATGCCAACAAATAAAAGGATGAATAAAATATTTTTCCAATTTATACAATTTTAAATTTTGCATACTCATAGGAGTTATTTATATGAATTTTAGAACTGCAATATTCGCAGACCACAGAAAATATATATTTTTGAATAAATTACCTGCTCCTTCCAAGCATATTTTCTGTTTTTTTCTGCATGCGTGCACAGGAGTTGTTGGTTTGATAGACAACACACTTTTAATGAAGCGACACGTGTCCTCGGGGGTCACGTGTGCATAGATGAGACTGTCTTGGTGGTGTGTGTATGTGTGTGTGTTTGGGTGTCTGTGTGCATGCAATTAGAAAAATGTCAAAGCCAACAAAAGCACAGAGCATGTGCCACGCCTAATTCGCTATGCACAAATCACGCCCACCAACTTGTCAGCCAAGTGACATTGAAATGTTGCATTCAGGCGAGAGAACAAGTATACTGATAGAGAGAGAGAGAGAGAGAGAGAGGCGAGAGAAGGAGGAGAATTGTGTAAAATTACCTTTATTAGCGGGTTTTGCCACGGGTGTAAGCCAAGCAGTCAGAAGGAACGAGTTGGGTGCCGTCAGCTGCCACGTGTTGCTCGGGCAATGCACGAGTTGAGCTTCGGGCAGGAACAAACAGCAGGCAGAGAGGGCTGGGTTAAGGGGCTGGACTATGGCTTACACAACATGAGGTATGTATAGCGCATACAAAAGGCTGCTTTATGCAGCGCAGTTGCGCCACCCACTGGACAGAGAAATGCGCTATCTATCTGTTGTTGTTGTTGTTGGTGTTTAAATTTAGGATTAGTCTACGCTGGAGGAATGGGGTTGTAGGGGATGTGTGGAGCAGCAGTCTGGGCTTTGCCATTAAGCATAAAATTGAGTTGCGTCTCGCGGCTCTCGAGGATAGAGTATACAGTGCCAAGCATTTAATATGTGGGATTTACCAGCTTAGTTGGCAGAGTTGTGACTGTTGCTGTTGCCGTTGTTGTTGTTGTTGTTGTTGTTGCTGTTAAGAGTTCAGAGAGCGGTCAGCGCGGCTTTTGAGGCTGCGAAGCGTAACGGACACGCTACTAATGCATAAGCTAGCTTATTTGATTTATTCATGTGTGTTGCGGTGTGTGTGGGCGGGGTTTACGCTCTGGGACAGAGCTCGTTAAGCAGTGTTAACTCTAAAGTAAGTTGATATTGTTAGAAGATACAAGGCTACAATATTTGTAAAATTTTAATCTAAAAGATGAGCAGAGTACTTCACGATAACAAAATTGGTAGCCAAGTTATCCTCTTTGACTCTTTCAGTGTTTTACTATAACTCACATAGATATTCAAATATTTCGCATGGAAATTGTGAGAGCAGTTTTACAAGTGCATTGTGGACAAGCGTTTGTTTTCTGACTCTTATGTCAAAAACGCTTTAGTTATATTATCAAGGAGTACCTCAATTCAACTGGCCACTCGATGTGCAACAGCAGCGGTTGCAAGGTAGACACTTGTAACACTCGTGTGTCTTCAACAATGCTCTAGCTGACATAACTCCTTTGGTAACATCACAACAAAACATAAAAATGTCTGACAATTTCATTCAATTTGCCTTGGCCAGAGACATGCAAAAACAAACAAGCAATAAGCGTCTGCAGTTGTCACTGCGCCCACTGACCATAAAAATATTTAAGTTTTGTACAAAAATACGCAGATATGTGAGTATTGTTATTTATTTGTATATGTGGATACGTTTGTGCGTATTATTGTGTTTTATGCATTTGCTGTTGCTTTCACAGCGAAATTTATAGCTTATTTATATAACAATAAAAGCTACGAACAGCAACACGAACAGCATCAGCAACACCAACAACAAAATCAACAACTACAACAAGAACAATCACAGAAATAACAACACGCAGACACAGCACGAAAATGTCGCCTCTGCTTTTTTGGGTGTTGCATGCAACGCAATTCCAACGACTGTCAGACAAAATGAAAGCGAAGCAGAAACCATTTGAAAAGTAATTCGAATAAGAGATGCCCTGGTTTGTGTTTTTTTTTTTTTTTGTTTGAAATATTTTAATTATTTCACATAATTTGTTTTTACTAGTGAACGAAATTTGTTTTTTATGGCCTACATCCTACATCCTATCCAGGATTTTTAAAGAAGCAATAAACATGGCAGCTTCCATAAGTTTACTAGTGACCAAAAGTCTTTATTCAATTTCGCTGGCGCATTCAGAAATATTCAAGCCATTAAAGATATTTTTATATTTAAGGAACTGCATACCAGATTTGTGGTCTGCGAGTGCAATGAGGATGAAGTATAGATTGCATGTGACAAAATTGTATCGCTGGTTAATGCACACATGTATTTTATCGACACGGAAGTGGTTGTTGCTGCTGCTTGTTACAATCATCTCCATGATCATGTTTTTTTTCTTTTGTGTATACGCCCTTCATTTTGTGTAGCTCTTTTATGGCTACAGGGTATAAAAAGCAGGCGAGTATGAAATATTATGCAAGTGCGTCTGTCTGGCAGGTTGTGCGTGAGTGTGTGTTTGTGTGCGTGTGTGTGAGCATACAAATTAAACAAGATGCAACACTCAGTTGGCTAACTGCCTGCTTCCCAGCCTGCCTACTTGGATTGCACAGCTGCCAGTCGGCTTCTGCTGCTGCTCCTCCCCCTGTGTCCTATCCTTGCGGCCATTCTGTCTGCTTATTTACATCCCCTCCTCCACCACCCTTCCTGCGCCTCACCACCCTCCGTCTGTCTGCTCGGTATTACGCGCCGTTGTTGTGGTCGTCGCGGCCTCGCTGACGGCATCGTTTTTGTGTTCCAGCCGCCATTAAAAATTGCCAACAGCTTGCAAAAAGACACGAAAAACAATGCAAACAGCAACGAGCTACATGCTACGAAAACAACAAAAGCAACAACTATTACAACAAATGTCAAAAATCAACATGAGTATACAGAAATGCTAAAAATTACGTGGATTTTTTAAATGCAAAATATCAGTTCTCGTTCAATGACTTTATAGGACATTCACCGTAGCAAGTACTGCTACCATAAAATGCTGATACGAAAAAAATATGAATTTAATATTGAACTTATTGCGAATGGAAATATATATTTAAATTAATTTCTCATAACATCGTAATCACAGTTCCAGTAGAGTGAACATATAATATATATTAAAATAGTATTTTGAGCAGAAATATATAATAAAATAAGTTTGACTGTCAAAAGTGCTCCTCGTCAGTGTCGCTTCAGTTTGAATTGGTGGCTTATCATATTGTTCCATTTTTTCGGTTTGGGCACTCAGTTTTCTCATTTTTATGGATGACAGCAAAAATAATTTAACGAGCGACTGTTGCTTCCGCACTTTAATTGCCCACTACCTGTCTGTGGTAATTTTTATATTTTTCCAGGTGCAACAGAAATTTGAATTGATTTAAATTTATGTGATTTTGCAATCAATGATTTATGCGAGTCCAAATGCCTCCCAGCCACACATGAATCTGCTGTACCCAATCGAATAAAAAGAAATGCTGATGACACCTCATGGCAGCAATGACATTTTATTTGTTCTTGCCTTATTTTATTTCATTGTTATATACCCCGTAATTATCAAAATCAGTACGAAAAAAAATTCAGAGCGTGGTTTATGTTTTGTCTAATTTTTAACGATATTCCGAACACATTTGTGTATACTTAATGAACGAATTTGATAGATTTTATACACCTAACAACTGCCATAGGGTATATACATATCGAATACTCACAAAGTGAGATCGTTTGAATGTTTTTTTTTTTTT